GAGATCTAAATCAGTAGGCTGGAAGCTCAGGAGAGTCAGTGGTATAAGCCCCAGTGCAGAGGCTGCAGGCTCAAGCCCCAAGAAGAGCCAGTGTGTCAGTTGGAGTTCAAAGCGAAAAACTGTCAACATCTCAGCTCAAGTAGTCAGGCAGGTGGAGTTCCCTGTCACTCAGCCTTTCTGTTCTATTCTGGCCTTCAAGTGATGGGATTCGGTCCACCCAGGGAGAGCAAGCTGCTTTCCTCAGTCTACCATCAAACATTTATCTCATTTAGGAACACCTTCAAGGACACACTCAGAATCACGTCTGACCGAACGTGTGGCCTGTGCCTCAGTCCAGCTGGCACATACAGGGTCACACACAATGATCTCCTGCCCAACTCCTCAGCATCAGGAGGTTCACGGAAGATCAGCTGAATAAAAGGTACTCAGAGCCAACAGAACAGAATAGATTCATGACAGATGGCTTCCGGAGAGAAGTACTTCCTTCTGAACACCTTTTCTGACTATAAAAGATACCCTGAAACAGAAGGGCCTTGTCGAGCAAGGGATGTTTCTTTGTCCGTCGGTCAGCCCCAACCCCTGACATTGCAGCCCACCTCCTGGACACTAAGCAGCCCCACAGGAGGATCCCCCCATCTCACCGGCAACACCTTCTCCCTTGCTCCCTCCTCTGCCGGCTCTGTCCCGGTCCTGTTCCTTCAAGGCCTCTTCCCTCCCTTCCCTTCCTAGTCTGTAAATTCTAGTTTATTTTGTCCAAGACAAAGTGCTTTTTAGATCTTCTGCAGTTAGGAGCATCTCTTCCACCTGGTGTGTGCAGTGGCCTTGGCAACATGACCTGTTCTTGGAGATGCTATTTAAAACCCGGAGTGTACATGGAGTGAGGTAGAATCTTGCGTGCAGCTGTGATGTGTGGTTACATAAAGGCACATGCTTTACTTTGCCCTTGGCTTGAAGCTCTCCTAACAGACTTCAGAATTACCAGCTGGTGGGTGGGGGGAGCATAGGTTCTGATTTTAAGATAACAATAATAATAAAATCAAGGCCACGGGGTAGAGTTGGACCTGATGATTGAGCGCTACACTCAGCAGACCCAACTCCAGAGATTCTGGATGGACCCCTGGGGCCCCAGCTTGTCTCAGAAGGCCACTGTTTGTTGCATGGTCTCTGGAGATGACTCAGCAGCCCTGGCACCTGCCTCCCATCAAGACAGTGCTAACAATTAAAGGAAAGAAGAAGGAAACTGACTCGTTTACTCCTGAGGAAAAGCCACTTACATTAATAGGTATTATCTTTTTATTTCTTGCTAAAGCACCAGCAGGGAGAGACTTTTGTTCCCATTGTAAAGGTGGGTAAACTGAGGTTTTTAAAAAACAGGGCCAAATGTGTGCTCTAGGAACACATTGGTAAGAAGTAGAACTAGTTGCGACATCACTTGAAAGACCCCACAACTTGACCCCTGAGATCGACTTGCTCTAAATAGCCTGAGTTGTACCATTGTCTTTTATCTAATGGAACCTGTGCAACCTTGCACAAGTGACTTGACCTCTCTGCACCTGTTTCTTTGTATACAAAATGGATGTCTGTGACATTACTGCCCATAGGGTTGCAGTAGGGATTAAATACATCAAGACCACAATATACTTTGAATGTTACCCAACATAGCACATACGCAAGCATATATATACTCTCTATTGTCTCTCTTTAAACTCCACCAGGTTTCCAGGGCCTGATCTGTTCATTACACCAAGTGCTTCTTAAGACAGTGAAGTCTTGGAGGTCAAATGTAGGCTCTGGAGACATTGGAGCTCCAGGCTGCACTCCTGAAGTACGCCCCTCCAAGCTGCCGCAGTGCTGCCTCTGGCTGATTAAAAGCCGTCCCTTCTGGAGCGAGCTGAGAGACAGGGCACTCAGCTGTTTTATGGAAATCTAGCAAGCGGGTGTGACAGGGAGATAACACCCTCCACCCCTCTCCAAGGCTGAAGATACTTAATTATCGGAAACCCCAGTAAACAGCAGGAACAGGATGGTACCCAAGATGCGGAGAAGCAGAGCCAGGCAACCAGGGCTGGTGAGAGTTATTAAAGCTAACGAGGTGACTCGGGGCTGGGATGCGGAGTGAGAAAATGAGCCTGAGGTTGCCAGCAGCCTCCAGGACTTGTTGCCCGCAGTGGAACAGGATGGGAGAGGCAGGGAGATGGGCAATGGAGGGAGGGATTCGGAGGACAGCACAGAGTCCAGAAGGCAAAAGCAGCCCTCAGAACCTGCTGCCTGTTGCAGAGGAGGTTTCATGAGACTGAGGGGCTTACTGGGTTGTTCAGCAAAGTCCATGCAATTGCCAGATCTCAGGAGGGAGACCTCAAAATGCCACTTGGCAAGTTAGAAACCAGGCAATGAGTTAGGGAAGCCAGGAAGACCTGTGGGGGACACATACCAGTCAGGGGCTCCCTGGTGGCCAGGCTGTGAGTCTGACTGTGGTCTCTGCGCTAACCTCACTGCCCTGAGTCAGGGCAAGCAGCTATGCAGGAGGTGTCTTGATTTGTCCTTCCGAGAGTGAGCACTTCACAGAGGTTATATGACAGTGTGTACAAGGGCTTACCAGGAGCCTGGAGCCACAGATGGTAAAAGCTCAGTGGTGGTGTTCCTGACAGTCTTAGCAGATTAGGGCTCCGCAGTAAATGCCCAGCAAGGTGACTTTACAAACCTTGACTAAATTACAGCTTCTCATTTGGGGTTACAAAATAAACTTAAATAATTGCTTATGTTCAAAAAAAGAGTATGGAAAAATTCAAAGTAGAATCCATTTGGTTTCCACTGCACTCAACTAAAGATGATAAAGCAAGACGTGATATGGGATTGTGGCATCCAACCAGGAGCTCCCCAAGCAAAGAGAAAAGCTCCTGCAGTGGGAATAAAAGCACCAGTTTGCGGGTCAGACCTCTGCCTCCAAGACAAGTATGGGTTTCAAATCCTGGTTCTGCCTCATGCTGGGTACTGACCTTAACAAGTCGCATTGCCTCTCTGACCTCAGTTTTCTCGCCCAAAAGTAGACGGAATAGAACCTACCCCACAGGGGTTCTTGCAAGAATTTAAAAAGCCAAATAAGTGAGCCAATGTGTGCAGTGCACATTACACATTGTGGCACATCAGAAAACAGCAGCTCTTCTGTGCTCAGCTGCAGGCCCAAGGTCACAGACCAAGGATACAGGAGAGCCAGGCTGACTCCTGAGCTCACGGCTGAGTTCCCATCAGTCCCTGGGGAGAGGTAAATCATCTGCTTCTCCTTCCTCAGAGTCCTGACAGGAGGAGAAGACCCAAGGCAGAGCTGGTGGGTCCTAGAGGAACCATAGGGAAATGGAGAGCCAAAAAACAAAACCCAAAAACACTAAACTTCAGGGCATGTGGAAGGCGACAACCACCGAACCTATTCTTAGAAGGACCCAGGCAAGGCAGGAGGCCTTGGAAGTGAAGACATCATCAGCTGTGAAATGTAGGCTGACTCACACAGGCTCCACAGGAGGTGTCAGTAACAATGTGATGACTTTGGAGCAGGTGTGACCAAACCAGTCTCACTGTGGTCTTTGCATCTACAATCACCACGACTCTCAGCCAAGTGCTGTCAACCTCTTGTCACTTGGAGCTTTCTCCTCTGAGTCTGAAAATGCTTAATGGGGACTGGAATTCTGTCTGTTTGTTACTCTATGCCAAGGGCTCTACCATGTGAGAATCTGCGAGTGAGCGTGCACAAAAGAGGATTATTGGTGGGAAGAGTGGAGTATGTTGTACATTTAGCAGATAATTAACTAGCTTGAGAAGTAACAGGAACTGTTCAAGATGCCAGAGATGATATCAAAGAGGACGATGGATAAGACCTGTTATGTTTTAGATTGGAAATGACCCTTGAACATTTGTGTGGTGAAGACTTGGTCCCCAGAGCAGCAGTGCCTGCAGAAGTCTCTAAAGATGAAGAAGGAGATCACATAGGAGTGGAGGATAATAATGTTCCACCCCAGCTCAGGCTTCTGCAGAATGTGGCCTGCCCAGAGGTTCACAAAGGATTCTGAGCTGGCCAAGACAGATGATGTGGCACATTCAGATCTGGACAGACTCCTCATCCCTCATCCTCAGAACTGCCAGGCCGACAGGCTTGGAGCCAAGTTTATGTTGGATTCAGGCACATGGCTATTCCTCAGAGCTGGTCCTTCCACAGATGTGGGCTTATCCTGCAGGTGGATTCTGTTCTTATCTTTCGAGAAGTCCAAGGTAAATGGATAGCCAAGCTAGAATGCAATGTGACCCAGGGTATTTATTAAATAAATGACTCTGTGGAAGAAGGGAGGAGGAAAGAAGGAGTGATAATTCCTTTATGGAATATAAACTCCATGCAGATAGGAACTTTGTGTTAAGTCAGCTTTCTGTTGCTGTAAGAAAAAAAATCAGCTTATAGAAGGGAGGGTTTATTTTGGCTCAAAGTTTGAGTTTATAATCATCTAGCTCCATTGCTTTGGGGCTGAGGTAAGTCAGAACACTATGGCTGGGAAGTGTGTTGTTGGGGTGGCTGCTCACCTTATGATGGCCAGGAAACAAAGAGAGAGGGAAGAGGTGAGAAGAGAGAGTAACAGAGACAGCAAGGACAGAAGGACTGGGCTGGGGACAAGATATGCCCCTGAAATGCATACCACTAGTAATCCATTTCTCCCACCTAAGCCCCAGTGCCCAAGTTTCTACGACCTCCCGATTCGGCTATGAACCTATCATGGGTTAATCCACTAATGATGTCAGAGTCCTCACAATTCACTCCCTTGCTGTTCTGGAGACCAGGTCTTACAACACAAACTCTCAGGGGCCCTGAGAATCAAATGAGATTTTTTTTTCTTTAAATGACTGTAATGCCTTTATCTCAGTATCTGGCATGCAGGAGGCCATGAGAAACCTCAGAATGTGCAGGACTCCTCCCTCCTCACAGCTGTTCCTCTTCTTGGTCATTTCCCTACTCCACTTACATGAACCTGAGCTCAGACTCCCGTCTAACCAAGACTTCCCGGAGACGCTGGATTTTTGCCATCTCCAACTCGATCTCTTCTGGCATCATGGTTGTCTCTGCCATGGAGATGATGTCCAGCTGATCTGTGCAGGGACATAAAACACAGGTGTCAGGATGCTGGAGCCATGTGAATTTTCAAGAATTCCTGTAGGACACACCCTGTCATCGTTCTGGGTCTCAGGGACCAGCACTCACCATGGGGGTGCACAGATATCAGCCACACATAGACCTCAGCATGTGCTGCAAACATGTCTTGGTGAGTGGGCCCTTCAGAAACTGCAAGACATATTTTCTGTGATTCTGTAGTTTGAATAGGGTTTGTCCCTACAAAAACCCCCTTAGGCCTTGGTCCCATTGGGGCAGGATGAGGACATAGTGGGGACTTTTCTGGGGATCTTGGAGAATGAACCCAGGGCCTTCACATTGGACCATCTCAAAGCTTTAAATTGCCCAGGGAGCAGCCCCGGTGGGCCTCAGCAAAGGATCCATAGCATGCCCTGGCTGGACACTGTTAAGAAGCTCTGTAGAGCTGGAAGTTGGTGAGGTGAACCGGTGCTGTTTTGGTACAGTGACACATGGAGTGGGTGGGCAGGGTCACCATTTTATGTCAAAGGTTTCAGGCCATCCCCAGCAGAACAGTCCCAGGTCACTTCACTGCCAAAATACCAAAGTGAACAGAGGGAAACGCTCAGTGGTGCCAGCAGGCGAGCAGCCTTGATGTGTGGCGGGACAAGGGCGCTCCCCCTGCCCTACAACCAGCGGGTAGAAGAAGCGAGCACATGAAACAGAGGAAGCTGTGAGGTCCAGAAAGAGCCAACTGTGTGTGGGTCTGGGAACAACCCCAAGCCCTCCCCTACCCGAGGGCACCAGAGCAGCTGGGAGAATGCAGACTCAATAAGGAGACAAACACAAGGGATAGTAGATACCCAAAACATTGAAGACCAATCCTAGCCCCACATCCAGAGACCAAGATCAGCTCCACATCCTGCAAAATCCTACAGCAAAGTAGGCGGAGATACACTGCACACCTCTAGGATCCAGTTTGGACACTACAGCAGAACCATGGACACCAACGGATTTTCACTATTATACTTTTTCTTTGTTTGAGTGTTCTTTTTTAGTCTGGTTGGGGTGTTTTGTTGTTTTGTCTGGGTGTCTTTTTGTTTCTTGTCTTGATTTTTGTTTTGTTCTATTCATTTTCTTTCTGTCTTCCCTTAACTATCTCTCTTGACTATGATATTTTCATGTGAATAAACACAGTCTCTTTCCTTTCAGGTTCACTTCAATAATTTTTTGGTTTCTCTTTCATTCTTTCCCTCTTGTGCTCCCTTCCAGTATTCTAAAACTTGGGTTATCATTCTTTGCCTTACAGCCTTGCTTCTCCTATATTTCTCCTCATTCATCTCTGTTTAGTCCCCTGTCTCTCCTAGGTATCCCCCAAACAGAATAAAATTAATCTAAAAAGGAGAAATTCATTGCATACAAATTCCTGATATATGCAGGACTTTTTTTAAATATAACTGTAGAGCTTGCTCTTATAGCTTAAGGTACCAAATTAATAATTCCCAGTTTGTCAGTTGCTAGACTGTACTTAATACTATTTAATTGTTAATTGTAATACATTAGCCGGGATATTGTTCCTGTTATACTCAGTTTTTCTCCCTTATATGACAATGCTGTGATTGACTGGGATAATAACCATCACGATAATCCAGTAATAAAAGTCAGAGTACTCAGCCAAATATATAACAACTTCTCATCTTTAATAAATTGGGAAGGTAGACTCTTGGGAAATAGACAAAGGCCATAAACCATCTATACCTAGAAGACATTTTTAGCTGAGTGTGGTGGCACATACCTGTAATCCCAGTACTCAGGAGCTGAGGCAGGAGGATTGTCGTAAGTTTAAGACAGAATGAGCTACAAAATGAGATCAAGGCCAGTCTGAGTTGAATAGTAAGAACTTGTTTCAAAACAGACCAAAAATTTAAAAAAAGACATCGCTGAGAAAATAGTCCTTCCCTAAGAAAGCCTTGATTAATGATGAAGCTATCTACCATAAGACTCTACAAGCACCAACACAGAAAATAAAATAAAATAGAAAATAGAGAATAACAAGATGCAGAAGCAAAATACAACCCCAGACCTCCAGGCCACCTAGGACAGCTCCAGAGTACAACAGGATAGAATAGATCAAAAGCCACACATTGGAATGTTCTGAAATGACAGCAGCAGAAGTAAAAACACAAATGTAGGTGGCAAGAGAAAAATAATCTTTTGGTAAAAAAAGAAATAAAAAAATGAAACGCATGCCCAACAAATCTACAGTAGACACAGATTAAAAAATAGCAGATCTTAGGTAAACAATAGAAACCATGAATATCAAGCACAGGAAAGAATTGGAAGCCATGAAACGGATCCAAACAGATATCCTCCAAGAGATTAAAAATTCCATTGAAAGTATATGCAACAGATTGAACAAAGGTGAAGACAGAATATCAGATCTAGCAGACAGGACTCCAATTAGTGACTGTGAAAAATTAATTCCACAGCTGCACAGTGAAGCTAAGAAGAACAAGATAAGACTGATTGTAGTCAATGAGAATGCTAGAGACAATGCAAACATCATACAAAACATCTTCACAGAAGTAATGGTAGAAAACTTCCCAAACATGGATAAAGAATTTAACATACAAATAAGTGAGGAAGGTAGCACTCCAAATAGCCATGACCAAAATAAATCTACACCAAGATATATAATAATTAAGACTCCAGAAATTTAGCACAAGAACACAATACTGAAAGTGATTAGAGAAAAGAAACAAATCATCTATAAAGAAAAACCCATCAAAATCACAGCAGACTTCTCAACACAAATCTTCAAGTCAAGGTGAACTTAGAATGAGGTATTTCAGGCCCTAAAAGAAAACAGCCTCTAACCAAGATTGAGGTACCCACAAAACTATCCTTTGAAATCAATGGAGAAATAAGGTACTTCCATGACAAGAACAACTGAGGAAATTTATGACAACAAAACCAACCCTCCAAAATGCTCTGAAGGATATTTTAGAAAGAGATAAAGATGACTACAATTCCAAGAACACCAATACAAAGAAGCCACCAGATAAGACAACAAGTAAACAGATGGGAAACACAGGATACCAGCAGCAGGAAAATATGATTAGTCAATGCATGTCAGTTATAATCATCAATGTTAATGGCCTCAATTTACCAACCAAAAGAAACAGACTGGCAGAACAGATCAAGAAACAAGATCCAGTGATATACTGCATATAAGAAACACATTTAACTAAAAAAGAAATTCATAAACTGAAAGTCAAAGGATGGAAAACAATACTCCATGTGGCAGGAACCCAGAAAAAGCAGGGGTAGCTATCCTATTTGTAGACAATGTGAACGTCAAGCTAATACTAGTCAAAAGAGACAAAAAAAGGTCACTACATATTGATTAGTGAAAAACTTCAAGAAGAAGGAGACATAACAACCATAAATATATATGCGTCAAATACCAATGCAACCAACTATATAAAACAAATATAAATGGACATGAATAATCAGATAAGCACTAACACAATTGTAATTGGGAACCTAATATCTCACTATCACAAATAGATGAACTAGACAAAAAATCAACAAAAAAATATCAGCACTAATCCAAACCTGTAAACAAATGGACTTAGTAGATGTCTACAGAATAGTCTACCCCATAACATCAGAATACATATTATTCTCAGCTGTCTATAGGACAGTCTCTAAAATGTCCCTGATAGGTCCTGTTAGCCTGAGATTTAGCTACATCCTCCCAACTTGGTACTGGACCTAGAGAAACAGCTTATCTCTCCAAGAGTAACTTCTATTTTCTCCTTCTCATTCCGGGATAAACCTCCCACTTCCTTTTCACATGTGCACCGAGCCCTTTCCAATCCCAAGACTCCACAACCACCCAAGCCTCCACCTACAGCCCCCAGCAAATCTTTCTGTCTCCTGTTTTACCCAGGCAGATGCTCCTTCAAATCAGTTGTTAATGTATCATTTTGCCCACCTCCCAAACAACTCTTCCAGCCCAAACTGATAAAAGTAGTCCTACTTCTTTGTTCTCCTTTCTGAGAAGCTCTCCCATGCCCACATTAAAGGCCTCCTCCTTTGTCTGCTTCTTATCTCTCATTTTCTCTGTGCCACTTCATATTGAGTGCCAAAAACACTCAGCCCCACAGAACATGACTGAGTAAATGCAAAGGAATTGAAATTATTCCATGGATATTACCTGAATATGTGCAATGAAATTGGAAATCAAAGGCAAAAGATACCACAAAAACTACATAAACGCCTGGAAATTAAGTAACACCCTCTTGAACAATCAATGGTTTACTGTTTGATAAAACAGTATCTACAATTAAATGATGATAGTTGTGAATTCTCACATCAGAAAAGCAGAATGAGCTCAAATAAACAACCTAATGTTGAACCTATAAAGAGCAATAGATCAAACCCAAAGCTCATACAAGAGAGCAAATTAGAAACATAAAAGAAGAAATTAATGCAGTTGAGACTAAGAACACAATACAAAGAATCAGTGAATTAAACAGTTGATTCTTTGGAAGATTAAATACAATTGATGAACCCTTAACCAACCTTATCAAAAAGAGAAAAGGAAAGACAGATTCATGCAGTTATGAATGAAAAAGATAAAATTACCACAGATCCCGTGGAAGTCTAGAAGATTATCAGTATCTACTTTGAGAACCTGTACTCTAATAAGATGGAAAGTACAGAAAAATGGAAAGATTCCTAGATACATATGAATTTTCAAAACTGAATCAAGAAGACTTAAAAATTCTAAATAACCCAATATTATCAAAGAAATTAAAAATTTAATTAAAAACTTACCAACAAAGAAAAGCTCAGATGCTAATGGATTCACTATTGAATTCTACAAGAAATCTAGAGAAGAGTTGATGTCACTAATCTAAAACCCTTTAATGAACTTGAAAGGAAGTAATACTCTCAAAATAAGAAAAACAATACCATTCACAATAGCATCAATTAAATTAGGAATTAAGCT